GAACACAACTGTCTCGATTATGCAGTAGGCCTAATTCAGTCCCATGGAGGCTCCACAGCTGTTGGTCTAAATTTCCTGAGTTCTCACTAGTTTGGTTTAGTTGTTTCTGTAGGTTTCCCCATCATGATCATGATGCTCCTTGCTCATAGAATCCCTCTTCTCTCTCTTCAATTGGGACTTCTGGAGCTTGGTCTGGTGTTTGGCTGTGGATCTCTGCATCTGCTTCCATCAGTTACTGGAAGAAGGTTCTATGATGACAGTTAGGATATTCATCAATCTGATTACTTGGGTAGGCCAGTTCAGGCACCCTCTCCTCTATTGCTAGTAGTCTAAGCTCGGGTCATGCTTGTAGATTCCTGGGAACTTCCCTAGCACCCAGTTTCTCCCTATCCCCATGATGTCTCCCTCTATCATGGTATCTCTTTCATCAGTCTCCCAATCTGTCCCTGTTCCAGCTCAATCATCATGTTCCCTCATGTTCTCATACCCCATCGCCTCCCTTCCACTACCCCCCCCCATTCCCAGTTTACTCATGGAGATCTCATCTGTTTCCCCTTCCCAAGGTGATCCATTCATCCTTCTTAAAGTCCTTGTTTCCTAGCTTCTCTAGAGCAAATCCCTACAGAATTTTCTTATTATCCATTAGTAATGTGAGCCACAGACCCAAGGTTTTTATAGTGGGATGTGGTTTACATGTTATTATCTTTGTATGTGAATCTTTCTATAAATTTGCATATCATGTTTACATTATTCCCCTCTCCTTCAAATTCTCCTGTGCCCTGCATCCCCCTCTAAAATTCCTGGTCCCTTTCTCTTTACATATGTATAAATGAATAAATATATAAATACAATATGCTGAGTCTACTTGGTGCTGCTCATATGTGTATCTTTTTAGTGTTGATCACTTGGTATTGGATAACCTAAAGCAGTGGTCCTCAACCTTCCTAATGCTGTGACATTTTAATACAGTTCCTCATGTTGTGATGACCCTCAACCATTAAATTATTTTGTTGCTACTTCATAATTGCAATATTGCTACTTTTATGAATTGTAATATAAATATCTGACATGAAGGATATTTGATATGCAACCCACAAAGGGTTTGTGACTCAAAGATTGAGAACCCTTGGCCTAGGGTGACCATCTCCTTGGTGAGGTTTGAGAACTATATTCATCTGTGGATATAAGGGTAATTATTTACAATGCACTTAGGAATATACTCTTTTAGGAATGTGGTATTAGTAGATTCTCCTCTAGGGTTTATGGCCTCAATAGTTATGAATAGTTGGCTTACAGTAATTATATTTAACAGATTATTTTAAATCTATTTGCCATATATAAATTCTGCTTCAGGAGATAACACTCCTCATTTTTTAACCTGTCACTATTTGTCAAGTGCTATACTATATATGATACAGATACACTTTATGATAGGAGTAAATAAATAGGCCATGTCACTTTTAGTTCATGAATAGTTAAATAGATAAAAAGACTTTAACTCCCTTATTAATATCCTGAGTAGTAAGATTTACTTAATAGCTATGCATTGACTAAATTCTACACAAGTGATATCAACTTTTCTTTTTTCTTGTTATGTAAAATTTAAAGTTTGAGAGCATGGTAGACTTAAGTAAAATGTCAACAAATTTTAAAAAAGAAAAGTAAAACAAAAACATAAGACAGACGGGAACTATGAAAACAGCATTCAAAACATGTGCCACTCCTTCTAAAAAGTCCCTACAGAGAAATCAAAAGTATCAAGCACTTGTATAAAATTAAGTGAGAATAAGAAGAAAATGAGGGTTCCAAAATGAGTTATAAGAAACAAGAGAAGAGCATATGAAAAAATAATCAAAACACACAGATGAAAGTAATGAAGTTGGGCATTTTATGTAGGAAAGAACATGTAGCAGCAAAATTGGAAACTACAGCGAGAGCTGGTGTTCCCCTGGTGCTCACTGCTCTTTTGGGAAATGCTAGTTTAAATGCTTTTATAAGACGGCTAATAGAATTGCTAGCTTGAAAGACAGAAAGAAATCTCGGGGACCACAGACATAGAAGCGAAGCAATTAAAAGGAAGGGAGGCAAGGCTGAGCTCATGGTCCATGATGAATTCAACCCGCTATACCAGTCAGGGCTGAGATTCTGATTCACCCAAGAAAGACCAAATATCAAAATCTCAATACACCTCACTCAGAATGTGATCGTTAAAGCAGACTGTTTTCAGGGCTAAGGAAGTTTGAACAAAACTTTAACTGGTTTAGAGACCCAAGGAATGCACAGTCTTCTCAGGCTCAGGTAAAACCTTTGCAAAAACCAACTCCTTTCTGAGCCAAAAAAGAAGTCTCAAAAACTGCCAAAAACAGAAAACATACATCCCATGATCATTTCACTATGAGATAAAAAACTAACGATGAAAAACAATAACCTGAGAATATACACAAGCAGATCCTGATCACACAATTATCTGGACATGAAAAGAGCATAGTGCTAGGTAAGCTATGAGTGAGCACTGATAATTATTAAATATTAGCTTATTAATAATTATTAAATTATTATCTACAGTTAAACTCCTTTATGAAAAAACTCATAAAATGCAATTAAGGAAATTTACAGGATAATACAGTCTTGGAACGTAGAAGTTTATAATCTAAACATCCACCAAGAACTTAAAAGGTAGGAAAAATTCTAGAAAAAAACAGATATTAATAAAACTAAAATCAAATATAAATTAATGGAAAAACAAAAAACATAAAATAATTCATTAAATTTTTTATAAGATCACAAAATGAAATATTTGTAAGAAATCTTATAGGAGAGAATGGAAAACAAAAACAATTAGCAGGAATGAGAGAGAGAATTACATTGGAAACTAGCTTTTTTTGGGTGGTGGGTCAGCTCCTGTTATAGAGTCTCTAGTTAATATAGTTTATATTGTCCTGTTGCTACTGGTTCTGATTTCTTTACACTTGGTGCCACTGTCCCCAGACTGGCTAGTGATACACAGATGCTTGGCTCTGGGCAGGGGGAACCAGACAGCTCCAACACATCACTGGAGAGATCTCAAAATACATAATCATAAAATTGAAGTAATTATAAACCAGTAGAGATGGAAAGCATTGGAATGGGGTCATTGTTCATTGAAATGAAAAGTGAGACAAGATGGACAAGTTGTTTGAAATACATCTGTAATTTGCCAACACAGATGCCAAAGGTAACAGGACAGAAAATGAAACATGAATATAGAGAATAGTTTAAAAATCTATGCATTATTTATCAAAACAAAATAAACAGACCCACATGACCTATACATAAATTTTACCAAGTTTTAGGTGGGTTCTTAAAGTCTAGATCCCAGCACAGAAGCATCAGTATCACCTGAATGCGTGTTATAAGAAAATTCTAGAGGCCTGATTTGTACCTACTAAGTTAGAAACCTAAGTGTGAGGCCGATGAATGTGCATAAAGACTCGTGCTGGAGTCTGAGGATTACTATTTCAAGGAATATATCAACCCGAATTTATACAAGCTATTCTAAAGAATAGAAAAATAAAAGAAACCACCCTAGCGTTGTCTCATTTTATGACAATATAGTGTCCATTCTGGAATCATAATAAAATACTATAAGTAAGGAAAAATCATAAGTTGATGTTACACATAATATGAACTTTCTAAACCAAAGATTAGCAAGTGGAGCTTCCAATGCTCGGTGTGTGTTTATGTGTCTGCTTGCCTCTCTGTCAGAGTGTACAATGACTGTTGGGAATGTCCCATAGGGCGTTTACTCATAATCAGATTGGAGCTGTCTATATAAAAAAGGTATTTCTGTATCAGAAAATATACTATTGCAACAATAACCAATTAGAAGTGAAAGGTCACATAATAATCTCCATAAATGCAAAAAACACTTTTATACTACAATACCCATTAATGATAGTAATTTTCAACTCACAGCAAAGAAGAAATTAAAAAGTATTAACTTGATCAAAGCTACCTACTATAAGCCTTCAGCAAGTACAATTTAATGAAATCATAGCTGTTACTCCTTTAGATTAGGGATGATACAAGTCCTCTATATTCATCCTTGTATTGCAAGTCCTTATTTGTGTATCAACATATTAAAATGAAATAAAATGTATATAAGTGTAGATGAGAAATAGATTATGTATAAATCTGTAAGTTCAATGAGGCTTTTATGATAAGATCCCCATATAAATATCAACAAAGAAAGAAACAAGAGGAGAAATGGCATGTAGGCATGGTCTGCTAGAATTTCCAGAGAATAAACTGAGGAAAGTTGGATAACGGTGCTCAGAAGTGGATGACGGCCAAAACTATCTTGCTTAATATGAAGCTTTACAAAAAAGAATAGGAAAAATATGCTGAATCTATCCTGGAAGGAAAAGTAGGTCTAGGCACCTCCCTACTTCCAGTGAGAGAGAGTGCATAGAGATGTAAATTAAGACAGAGAACATCAGAAAATCCACATGGTGCTAAAAGTGGAAAAAAAAGAAAACCCTGAAGGAAGGGAGATAAAAGTGTCATGCGGCAAAGGTAGACAGAGGAGATATGCCAGGAGACTCTACTCCTCGTGGCACTGTACTGGATCAAATGGCAAGATAGAATTACAAAGACCTCTGCTGAGTGTGCAGTTCAGCCAACATCAACCCTCTGTGAACGACATGGTGGGAACCTGGAGCAAGCATCAGTCTGAGAAAAAACTGATGGTGAGTTTATAAAACAGACCAAATATAATATGATCTGAAAGAGTGAATTTTCTGCCTTTGTCTTGTTTTTCTGTTTTTGTTTTTGTGGGTTTTTTTTTTTGTAATTAAGTTCTCCCATAAGAATATAATCAGATAAACTGAAGAAACTGAAAAAGCTCTGTCACTCTAAATCTGATACTTTTATGTCTTGATGAAAAATGACAATACCATGTTGCAAATAAGGCTCAACTTGCCATTTTATTAAGAGGCATTAATGATATAATGTCATTGAAGAGATGGCTTCTCTAATGTCATTCAAAGATACAACTAAATCAAAATATTTATAGAAAGTAGTAAGAAAATGTTAAAGCAATTTTCTTTGTCTGCTGTCAGTATTTCTGATACAGTTGCTGATGGTGTTCCCATGATGGTAGGTGAAGGAGAAGACTTGTACAATTAATAAAAGACAAACTCATGTTAGATGAAGTATTACTGTATGGTACAACAAGAAAATGTATGGTCATACATGTTAACAGTGGGTGATGCTCTGCAATCATCATCAAAAGTGAATTTACTAAGGGCCAAGAGATGAAATCATAGCCAGTTCCAGGAAATCCTTGAAAATGCTCATGATGCTGCAGACTCCCCATGGGAGACCTTGCATTGGAGGAGGTGGGGGGTTTGGAGGGAAAGGCTGGGAGTGGGAGGAGGAAGGACAGGGGAATCTGTGGTTGATATGTAAAATGAATAGAAAATCTCTTAATAAAAAAATTTAAAAGAAAATGTTTGTGATGACTGTGATGAATTTATTTACTTTTCAGAAAGAATGTGATTTACAACCTCGGTGGTATTTGTGTGTATGTTCACAACACATTTATGTGTGTGAATGTGGGCATGCCCCTGTTGCAGTATGTGTGTGTAGGTTAGAGGACAACCTTAGGTGTCAGTTCATGACTCTTGTTTGTAAATTGGGACTTTGTGTTTGTTTTGGGTTTTTTGTTTGTTTGGGGTTTTTTGTTTGTTTTTTGTTTTTGTTTTTGTTTTCTGCATCTTCCCAACTAGCTACCCCTTCCGGCTTCTTGGAATTCTCCTGCCTCCATCTGTTCTGTGACACGATTCCTCGAGAGACCTGGGGGGAAAAAAAAAACACCTACTCACCTGAAACAGGGAACCAGTGTTAAAAGTAAGGATACCACCGAAATTCATTGGGGTACTAATGACTTTTATTTGGGGTAGCTTTCGGAAGTACAGGTGAAGGGTTGCTACAGGAACAGAAATCACTTAAAAACAACAAAAGCCCACCACAGTAAATGGCGGCTCATAAAAGCTGTAGCCCTGGAGCTCACCCCACAACTTAAAGGCATCTTGACAAGTCTCTCTTCCAAACAGTTCATCTTGACTGCCTCTTCTAGGAAGCCTGGCTTGTCTGAGAGTGTCACCCAGCAGACCTGACTATTTATCTAGACTTGGATAGGAAGAATGTCTCATGTATCTGGTCAGTTTCAGGGACTTCCTAAAGCTGCTGAGTTGTTTACTCCCTAAGTTTTAATGAGTCTCCCTTTAAATACCCTCCTAAGATCTTCCCAGCAGGATGGAGTATTTCACTTCCCTTACATCTTTAGCCTTAAAACACTTTGTCCAAGATAGAATGTATCATCTAAGAAGAAATTAGCATATAACACCATGTCCCATCTTTCCACAGTGGCACTAGGACTATGGTCATACTATGTGTGCACAGGGCTTTTCATAGGTTCTTGAGATTTCAACTCAGGCTTTCACACTTACATGGTGAGCACTTTCACCCATAAACCGTCTCCCCAGCCCAATCTGGAATATGTAATAAAGTCTTTGCAGTATCCAGAACAAAACCGGCGCCAGAGTTGGAAATGAAAACTGGCTTATGAACTCACAGAGACTGTGGCAGCCTGCATGGGGCCTGCATGGGTCTAAGGCATATGGGGTGCTAGAGCTGAGAAAGGAAGTGGACAAGCCCATTCCTACCCCAAAATCTGTCTCCAATTAAAAACCACTAGCAAAGGAAAAGTTAGTAGAGTCTTCAGTGGAGTCTCACAGTGTACAAAGCACACTTGAAGGCAGGTCCCATGCCCAACACAAAATGAACTCAATGGTATTTTTGAAGGTATTTTTGTCTCACAGTGCTTCATCTGGGCTTTATTTATTTATTTATTTACTTACTTACTTACATGTTTATTTATTATGTAATTTAATCTGTATTTTAATCCTTACATATCTTTTGCCTATCTATTATGGCTTGCAATTTTGTTTCTATAGGTTTTGTGTGTATGAGAATTTGTGTGTCTCAGCGTCTGTATGTGTTTCTTCTCCTTTTTCTTTGGCTCTCTTTTAATGTTTGTTTTTATTTTATCATATTCTTATCATTATTATTATTTCTAGATGCCTGTTTATGTTCTAGTGAGAGAGAGAGAAAGAAAGGGTATAGATTTGGGTAGATGAGAAAGTGGGGGAAATTGGGGAGGGGTTGGAGCAGAAGAAACTGTAATCAAAATATATTTATGAATAAAATGTATTTTCACTTAAAGTAAATAAATAAAAGCAAAAAAGATGTCAGCCAGAAAAAAAACCAAACCAAACCAAACCAAAACAACAACAAAGAATAACTAGAACAATTTAATCAATAGGTCAATGAAATAAACTAACCGTTTTCAAAACAGAAAATACACCTTATGAAATACTGTTCACTTCATTAGTCACTTGAGAAACACAAATTAAAACAACATTGAGATTTCAATCTTACCCAGTCAGGAAGGCAGTCATGAAGAGAACAATGAGCCAGGAATGGTGGTGACACATGCCTCTTAATTCCAGCACTCTGGAGGCAGAAGCGGATGGATCTCTGTGAGTTCAAAGATAGCCTGGTCTACATGGTGAGTTCTAAGCCAGCCACACAGAGCTGCACAGTGAGACTCTGTCTCGAAATAAATTCATTCCGTAACTACATTGAAGCTCTTTAGAGAGAACAAATGATAACGGCGGAAGAGGCGGCTTGATGGTGAAGAGCACATGCCGCTCTGCAGGGGACCTGAGTAGGATTCCCAGCAGCTAAGTTGGGAGGCTCACAACTGCCTGAAAACCCAGCTCCAGGGGACCCAATACCCTCATTTGTCCTCCAGCAGCCCTGCACTCACCCAAACCCACACACAAACACACACACATATCCACGTAATTAAAAACAAAAAGAAGCCTGTAGTAGGGGCACATACCTCTAATCCCTGCACCTGGGAAGCAGGGCCAGGTGGATCTCATGTGTTCCAGACCAACCACAGCTACATAGGGAGACCCTGTTTGAAAAAACAAATAATAAATAATAAAATCGCAATTTTTAAAACAAGTAACAACAATTGTCATTGAAGATACAGACAAAAGACTGTACTTATACACTAGTGGTGGAAATGGAAATTAGTTCAGAAATTGTGGAAGTCAGTGTGGAGGTTTCTCACAAAACCAACAATAGATATTCCATGTGCCTCAGCGATAATATTCTTATGTATTTATCTAAAGGATTCTAAGTTAACATGTCACAGAGATACTTGCACATCAACATCTATTTCAGTAGGTAAGTTATGGAACCAACCTAAGTGCCCAACAATAGAGAAGGAATAGAAAAAAATATAATGTATAAATAAATATTGGAAGCTTTTCAACCATAAAGAAGAACAAACACTGCAGAAAAAATGGATGTAACTCTAGGTAGTTATATACCAAACAAATTAAGTCAGCCTCAGAAAGACAAGCATATGTGTTCTCTTATTTGTGCTCCCAGATTTATAGAGATACAAAAAGTCATGTGTGCATATGACGGGTAGCAGAAACAAGACTGTACTGGACAAAAAAAAAAAAAAAAAAAAAAAAAAGACTCACGTCCTAGAGAAGCAGCAGAAGAAGTATGGACAGAGAATATGCTTGAAATGACATACACCAACCAGTCTGAGAATGTTCTCATGATACACAGTGCACAATGGAAACTGAAAAGCTATAAATTACAATGATTTTTATAAGATGAGGCCATGAACATGAGAGAGGCGGGAGGCATAGGAGAAGTAGCAGGAAGAAAAGGGGAGGAAATGATGTAAATACAGTGATCATGTATGAAGTTCTCAAAAAAATTATTAATTAAAAAAAATCAGTAGGTGGCCAGTAAAACGACTCATGGGTAAAGACACCTATCATCAAGCCTGATGATACATACGTGTTTGGTCCCTAGTATGTGCATGGTGGGAGGAGAAACTGACTCTCCCAGGTGGTCCTCTGACCACCACACATATGCTGTGCCAAGTGCATACTTGTGTTCACACTCACACACACATACACACACACAAAATCCAAACAACAACACATACACACACATATACACAAACTCCAAACACACGCACACAAACTCCAAAGACACACACACACACACACACACACACTGAACGCACAAATTAGTTAAATTTTATCAATCAAATAAATCTATCAAAAATTTAAATATAAGTTTTTATTATATTTAAATAAAAATATATTATATAATAAAAATATAATCTTTAAACCAGCAGGAAGTGTCTGCAATAGCAGTAGATCTTTTCAAAATGCATTTAATCTTTTTAAGTCACGTGGGAAGACATCTAACAAAATGAAATAGCATATGCACTTCCAGCGGCTTTGTATAATACGAACCCTAAGGAGAAGCACATCGTATTTATGAAGAATGATTCAGCATTTAAAACTTTCATTTATTTTAACATTAGGGTTGCCAGATCGGGCAAATAAAAATACAGACTGCAAGCTAGGGATGGTGGTGCCAATCTGTGATTCTAGCACTTGGGAGGTGGTAAGAGGGGACCATCATGCACACAGGGGGGAAAAAAGATCATAGCAAACCCTTCCCCAAAACCAATAAAATAACTGCCCCCCTCAAAGAAAATCCACCCAACCAACCAAAAAACAAATAACAGGAACCCAACCCAATCAATGGGGGTGGAGGGGGGGACAGACAAACAAAAGGAAAAATCAGTTAAATTTTAACTCAAGGCTAGTGAGATTCAGCAGTAGCTAGTTCAGGCACTTGCCAACAAACCTGTTGACCTTTTTATCCCCAGGACCTGGACTCTCATGGTGGAAGGAAAGACCTAACTCTTCCATGTCATCATTAGATCTCCATGGAAGCACAGTGTCACTGCCCACACAAACTACACACACACACACACACACACACACACTCACATACACGCCCATACACACAAACTCCAAACACACACACACACACACACATGCACACACACACACACACTCACACATACAAAACTCAAAATTAATAAATGTAATAAAATTTTAATTGAGTTTCAAGTGGGCAAAGAAAATTTTCAGTATTTCTATCTCCTCCAAATTGAATTAGTTCCTCCTGGAAGGAGGAAGGAGACTCACATGAGTCAGGAAATAAGATCGTTAAGAGGCTCAGGAAACTCAACAAGCTTACAAGAACTCATGAAGCTCAGAAAGTTATGACTCACAAAGTCACTGCCCTAGGTTATGTTAGCACTGAAAAGGTTATGGGGCCGGTAGGATTCCATCCATTTAGATCTGTCTGCACACTAGACAGGGAGCCCGAGAGGCAGAACAGTGAGTAACCTGTGAGTAACGTATCACCCCTTCCCCAGTGAGATACCCCTCACCCCTACCCTTGTGAGTGACCCCTCACCCACACCCCTGTGAGTGACTCTGTAGACAAATTTCTAAACGATCTCAATAAATAAAAACACGGAACCAAATATAGGGGTGAAAACCTTAAAGAAAGATCAGAGGAACAGGACAAACCACAAGCTAACCTCACCTCGCCAACTCCGCAGCTTCCAAAGAGAGCTCCTTCCTGTAGACTCGCGTTTATATGCCTTTTCTGTTCTGTTCTCTCATTGGCTCTCTTAGTCCAGCTACATCACTCGCTCTTCCTACACAGCTCTGTCACTTTCTGTCTGTCTGCACAGACCTCCAGAACTCTAAGGTTGGTACTGGGATTAAAGGTGTATGCCACCACCCTTGGCTCTGTTCCCTCACCCCTGCCCCTGTGAGTGACCCCTCACCCCTGCCCCTGTGAGTGACCCCTCACCCCAGCCCCTGTGAATGACACCTCACTCCTTCCCCTATAAACAGCCACAGTGAACTCACTGATTCACCAAGGCAGACTTGGGTGGAATTCTTTCTTAATTCCATTTTTGTTACTCTACCTGGGATAAACAGACATTAGTTCACATCTTCCCAGGCAAAGTCACATAGCATTAATGTAAGATCCTATCTTGGTATAGAAATAAAACTCAGCAACAGGAAAACTTGGGGAAAGACAATATCTATAGAAAATAAATCTATCATGGGGAAAACTTGCATCAGTTAGGATTCCTTGGGTGCAAGAAACAGAAATCCATCTAGCTCAAGAAGCACAGGAAATACATAAGACTGAAGAATGTGGGCCCCTGTATGCAATCAGAGTCATTCTTGAAGTCAGGAGCCAACATATGTCTAGAGAGAAAAAAACCAAAGGACAATTATAACAGGCTGGAATAATTAATGCCAATTGCTTTTTATACCATTCTCTACATTCCTTGTGAGTTCCAGATTTTGAGGAAAAGAATGCACTGAATTGGTATAGTTTGGGCTATGTGTCCATCCCCTGACTGGAGAAAATGGGAACATCGTGTTTAGCAATCTCATGCCTGGATACATAGGGAAGAGGCGTCCTTCCCAGTGTGAGTTTGGGGCACAATTTCAAAAGAAGGGGAAATGGATTTTTGGCAGACATAAACAGCAGATGTCCACTGCGTGACTGAAAAACACAGATTATAAGAAACGTGCCAATGTACCACAGAGTTGCGAGTGCATGCTTGGTACAAGCTCTTTTTTTTTTTTTAAGTAAAAAGTTCTGTTGAGATGAGTCATTCTGGGAAATCATTAGAAGTGGGACACAAGATGAAATGGGCACACATCTTGATGAGGAAGAGTCACTCATGTCTTACTCTCTGTGATTGGAATAATCAGGGTGTCATTCTCAAGCTAGCCCTGCTCATAGTAGCTACTAAGAAATCTCTACTGGAAAATAGTAACAGTTACACCTTTAAAGCTTGGGGTATTCATGACTGATTGCCATGTCTTCTCAAGTCAAAGAAGGTACCTTTGCATCAACCATCAGTATTTGGTTCACAGCTAAGCAACGTCCATCCTTCCAAAACAAGATATGAGGAAATATGTCCTCTGTGTCAAATGTATATATTACAAAAATTAAATAAAGAGCGACCATGAATTCAAAAGGAGGGCCATGAGAGGGTTCAAAAAGAGAAAAGGAAAGCCGGAAATTATGTAATTATAATCTGAAAAACTAAAAAAATAAAATACTTTAAAAAATAAAAGCAAAGCAAAAGAAAAAAACCAAAGCAGTAAAATGTCATTTGGCCTGCAGATGAAAGGCTTGCTTTGCTCAAGATCAAGATGTGGCTTCTCCAGGGGTGACCACAAAAGTATCTGTGCCCAACAAAATAACTGTCCTGACAGTCAACAGTAAGGGCTTCAATGGGAAAGCTAGAGCAACAGGCAAGGTTTATGCCTGTGCTCCATGTGAACCCTGCACATGGAGTGAACATTAACTTAGTCTATCCTGTTGGCTTGCTTTTTGTAGTGCTGGGGGCTGACGCATGCGTTTTACTACTGAACATGTGCTACTGCATTCCCTATGCATTTACTACATGCATGTACTGCTGAGCTATGTGCTCCAAGGACCTTTAACTATGTTGAGACAAGGACACACCACTAAGTTGGCCAAGCTGGCCTTGAATTCACTGTGTAGCCCAGGTAAGCCATGAACCTGTGATTGTCCAGTCTCAGCATCCCAAGTAGCTGGGATCACAGGGGCCCCCAACAGGCCTCCCTCAATTTGGACATTCTTATATAACTAATTAGCACTAAAATATTAAGAGAAAAGCAGAAACTGAGTACGGAAGCCAACACAGAATTCCAGCATCCTGGAGATTGAAGTAGGAAGATCATCAGTTCTGGGTCAGCCAGGGTACACAGAATGAGACTCTATGGCAAAATAAGAAGGAAGAAAAGAAAAAGAAAACAGAAAAACTATATTGTTTGCATTGCTTTATTATATATTATAAAGCCTGGTATACATTTCACTTGGGAAATATTTGCTACCAGTATTTTCCAGCAGCCTTTAATTTCCCTTTCAATGTATGAAATCTTAACTTTTTTTTTGATCAAACATATTATCTTGTTCTTCTG